GCGCCAGCGCCAGCGCCAGCGCCACGCGCCAGCGCAGCGCCAGCGCCAGCGCCAGCGCCAGCGCCAGCGCCAGCGCCAGCGCCAGCGCCAGCGCCAGCGCCAGCGCCAGCGCCCCGCGCCAGCGCCCCGCGCCAGCGCCACCAGCGCCAGCGCCCAGCGCCATGCACAGCGCGTGCGCCCAGCGCCAGTGCCAGGGTGTTTTTTTTAGTCTGCAGTTGCGGTTGCGATTGCGGTTCTTATATACATGTTGTCGTCGTTGTTGTTGTCGTGTTTGATTCGCAAGTTTGGCTATCTTGAACTTGACGGCCTCCCCCACAAGCTCATGCGGACTTGCAGCAGGTTGCCTCTCGTGGCACCAATTTGTGGTGTCTCGAGCAAGCCTTGGGGTTTGGCTTGGCTGACGGTGGCTGCAGAAGCAAGCTGTCCATTAGACGCAATAGGGGAAGCAGGAAGGCCGTTGCTTCGACTGCCTTCGCATGGTGGGGGATGGTCGTCCGAGCCATGTGTGACCAAGGATGCCAGGGCTTGGCTTAGAGCCATGGTTACCAAGTTGTCAGCCCCGCAGGCGGTACAACATGTGGAACCTCCATCGGCACATTCAATGAAACCGACCACACTCAGCTTCATTGCGAAATGGGGTGCATCAGAAGCCGACAGGTTGGTTCTAGGACATTATGCGGATACTTCAGGCAGTCTGGCTGTCTATAGCAGAGACTTACAGGCGAAACCGCTCCGAGCGCTTGAACAATGTCTTGATGCGATCAGACGCAAGGTGTTTTTACTTGAAATCAGCAGATCAGGATACTTTGTGGTTGACAAAGGCATTGTTGGCGGTGACGAGACTTTGGGTCCTGCTCAGAGTTTGGATGAGCTGGCTCCTTCTTTGTAGCCGAGCGGTCCACGCTTGCCCCTCGGACCTCAGTCTTCACATGAAGGCAGTTGGGCACACGTTGAAAGTGCAACCGATCCTGCAGTGAAAGATGCCGATGGTGCGGTGTGCGAACCCACACCCCCTCCGAGTCCGAGTTTTTCCCCTGCCGCCGGTAGCGGGCAGGAGGAAGTGGTCAGCATCGGCGATGCAGAAGTCGGCAGAAGTGGTGGTGAAGACGCTTCTTCGTCATCGTCTAGTTCATCGTCCACTTCTGAACACGAGGATTCGCTTCGTGCGCCCCCTCAGGCGCTGCAGCCTCCAGTACCGTGGAGGGCTGGTTGTGTAGTGTGGCGCCACCTCAAAACGAGGAAGCTGCACTTGGTAGGTGAGGCCGACTCTCGCCTGGAAGCCGCCTTTTGCTGTGGTCGAGAGATTTCGAGTGCTTATATGCTCCATTGCTGACCAGTGTTGTCCTCAACTCTGACAGGTGCTCCCAGTGCGATAGGGGAAGACACATACGCTCAGTGGCGCAATTGAACTTAGAGTTGAAGCGCCAACGTGTGAGCCGTGCTTGAACGGTGTCGCCAAGCCTCAGTGTCGGTGGGGCTTGGGTGCATCGCTTGATCCTTGGCCTACGAAGTCCAGTGGCTGTGGACATACGGAGCTCCAACCGAGCTCTTGCACGCTCCGTGAAACACCCTGCAGGGCCCAGTGTTGGTGGGGATCCTCGAGGACTCAAGCATTTTCAGTGCTGGAGACCCTTTCTGGCTTTTAACTTGGAGCGTGTGTTGGGGCAACCTATCGGGCACCCAGTGCTGGGTGCTGAGAGAGGACCCGAAATTTTCTGACAAGTTTGGTTGTCGTGCAGAGCGCCAGCGCCAGCGCCAGCGCGCCAGCACGATCCTCCCCACGCCCACAGCGCCAGCGCCAGCGCCAGCGCGAGCGCCAGCGCCAGCGCCAGCGCCAGCGCCAGCGCCCGCACCAGCACCAGCACCAGCACCAGCACCAGCACCAGCACAAAAGAACTTCAGAAGTCAATCATGTGCGCACGCTGGCATCCTCACCATTTTTTCTTTTGCAAAGTGCAGGATCCGCTGAGAGACCGTGCTTGCATCTGTCTCGGCCGTGCCCCGCTGTCCTGGCGAGTGCTTGACCTGCATTACTCGTGCCATTGTAAGACCAAAATGGTTTGGGTTCAAAGTATCGGGTTGAGGGTTTAGGGTATACTCACTATGCCTTTAAAGTTCATTACGGTTTTGGTGGTCCTTTTTGGGCTGCTGTGGAGGAATGGTGCGTGTTTGCTTGGTGGGGTTCTACTATGGAGAGGCTAGGAATAAAGACCCCTCTTTGTCAAAGAAGCTTTTTACATAGTGAATGATACATGGTGTTATGTTGTCTCATGTTGTCTCATAAGATGCAGAGTATCATGACATTAGTGTTGCTGCTGTTACTGCGAACCGTTGCCGATCCGAGCTGCAAGTAGTATGTATGCATAAAGGGATTAAGAATGATTGAGATTTCTGTGTGTCCTGTTGCCTTTCTGATTCTGTGGCATGAAACCTCGACGGTGCAATTGTGTTAAACAGATTCTCACTAGTCGTGAGAGCCCGAGGAAATCATGCTACCGTGCGCCACCTTTAAGTACAGCTTCTCACTGAGCACAAGTTGACAAGCGCCAGAGTTACCATCTGGCAAAGCTCAAGTTTGAAGCACAAAGCGCCGTGAAGCATGCGGAGACTGAGGTGGTGCACAAGCCTGCGGTTTGGCAGCGCGCGGAGCCCTCGACGAAGAGCCGCGCTGTTGCCTTGCTGAAGGCGTGCGGGGTCCAGTGCAGCCGTGCCCGGAGATGCTCCGAGCTCGGCTCGCTTCTCGGGTTTTCGTCTCAGGAGGGCTTCGAATTCGGCTCGACGGGAGAGCGCCCTGGCGTAAATCTAAGTGATTTCATTGCTGTTTGCTCACAGACCCAGCATCTAGTCCAGCGCGTGCTTAGCAGCAGGTTCTCTGCAGGAAGGCAACGCTTAGCACCTGAGGATCAGAAGAACGTCGGAGGGCGCATGGGTGCAGGTGGAGAAGTGTGAAGTCAACGGGTGGCTTGATTGCATCCAGCTTTGAATCTTCACCTAGGACACGTGCCGCAGCTACATCATCGCTTCGATAAGACACTTCTGCATTGAGTCTCTCCCAGTTCTTGTAAGCTGTCGTGTCGTATGCCCGTCAGACTCAGAACATGTCTTTTCGCGTCCATGCTTGAGCCAGCAGCTGCATGAGGCAAACATCCGGGTGGGGTCTGATCGATGGAGCAGCCCTGGGCATCTCGTCCCTGTCAAATCGCAGCAGTCGAATCTTGGAACATGTTGTCTCCATGGCATTCTCGAGGATTGGGTCGCCTGATTGAGCCTTGCGAGGGCAGGCTTCCATCGTTATCCCCACACGATGGGGTTGCTCCTGGAGAGCTTCACGGATGCACTCTTTGGTTTCAGAGCGGACTAGCCACCTCGTTGCTTCCCTTCAGAGGTTGCGAGATCGCTTGCAAAAGCGAGCGCTGGCTTCGCGAGCAGGCGACGGTTCTCTTCTGAAGTGGTTCACAGCTACTAGTATCTAGTAGAACCAGTGTCACACAGCCATACAAAAGCATGGAACGTGTGTCCATGTCACATGACGCAGTGAGTGGAAGCATCGTCATCTGTCGATGGAGCCTTTGTGCTACATGTGTTCGGGCAAAGGCGGGAGAACATGTCAATTTCGCAGTACGTGTGTGATGCTGCCCTCTGCCAAGAGGTCTGAGATTGAACTGGTATGACGGAGACAAACTCGAACGATACGCGCTTCCTGCGGCCAGCGCGGCCACGCAGTGGAGGCGAGATGACGGTGATGACGAGGTGGGAGAGTAGTGGGTCTTGCAAATTGTTGCCCGCACTGTGGCCGCGGATATTGCTGTCGCACGGTGTCATTGATTGTCATTGTTGATTTCGTCGCTGCCCTTGATATCCAATTCAGTGCCGTCTTTCAGATGCAGATTTCAATGCTTTCAGATGCAGATTTCAATGTAAAGGCTTTTGTGCCCTCCTGTAGATTTGCAACTTCGATGCTTTTGAGAGGAGCAGAGAAGCTTATTTTGAGCTGCCAGCCGTATTTTCCTGAAATTAGCCTTCTGGCAGGAAATTCGAGACACCACCACCACCACCACCGCCACCGCCGCCGCCGCCGCCACCACCACCACCACCACCACCACCACCACCACCACCACCACTGCTTCTGCCGGTGTTCCGTTCGGATGTCCTGTCATGGTCTTGCGATGATCTTCCATGAGTTTTTGCAGGATACCGACGCGGAGACGGGGGCTGAAGTCCAAGGCCCCGCTTGTCTCCCCATTGGTTGGGCTCGGCTTCGCGGAGAAAACTGGCACTGCCGATGTGGATGCATCACCCAAGCGATGGCTGCCGAATCTCGCATGGAGAGCTGACAGGGAATTGTCACGGAGTTGAGTTTGCTGGCAAAGCGCGCTGTGAGGTGCTACTCGTAGATTACCGCGAAGCTTCGGTGCCTTGCTATCTTCCTTGTCTATGCAGCTGAGGAAAAAGAGCTGTCGGAAGTTGCTCAACGAGTCTTTGCACGAGACCAAGTGCACCAATCCGCGTGGCAAGCCCGTCTGAGAGATGATCATGTTAAACTGCCCTGCCATGCGGAATGTGCTGCGGGTTTCCCGTCCGTCAGGCGCTGTCCCTGCCAGACCAGCCGAGGGCTTCGCAAGCCGGTGTCAAGGGTGCGCCCTTGCTCTCGACCTTCATGCTTCAAAGCCTGAAGAGAGCGGGCTCCTACATTTTGGACCTCACCCCGGCTCCCCGGGTTCGGCAGGCCTGGCCCTTCCGGACGAAGGCTTCGTTCTCACGGCCTTGCGCCTCCTGGTGGCAGCGAAGGCGGCCGGCCTTGGGCTTTTTTGACGGAAAAGCCCAGGTTTGGCAGACGATGCGGGAAGCCTCTTCGGCCGCCGACACTGGATTTGGCAGTGGGGCTACCTGTCAAAATGAAGCACGCTTGCCTCTGGAGGTATCCTTGGCGCCTTTTGAAACTCGCAGTTCTCTGTCTGGTTCTGCGGCTGCGCCGAGGTCTTCTTTTCGCCGTGGATCTGGACCTCTCCCTGATCAGGTACTCGTAGTGTCGATAGAGTAGCATCCTCGAATAAGTTTCCTCGATTCTCAGTTTGGCTGCGACACATGCTGAAGATATGGTGGCCATTGCGAGTCAGCTTCAACTCCGAGCACGCAATCTGGTGCAGCGCCTTGGCAGGTACACCTATATGCAGTGGGATGCAGCCTTCGCATCGGGAACGGCAGCTATGCTGATCGAGGCCACTGGAACTCAAAGCTGCCCGCAAAGGCAAATTCCGGATAGCCAAGCAAAACCTGCAGAGTAGTTTATACAAGACAATGTGACACGCAACGATGCAATGCAATGCAATACTGTTGCAATACAAGATAGTACAGTACTCTACTGTAGGGTATTGTGCAAACAACACTACACGCAACATACTGCTATAATACAATATGCTAGATGCTTTGTACGGGGTATTGTTAATGTATTCTATACACCAATCCTATATTTTTAACTCTATGTTAGTCTATACTATAGAATATGTACTGTTTCTTGGTATTACCGACTATCTACAACCTGCCTTATAGTATGAATCATATACCATATGCTATATGCTTCATACTACATACTACATACAACATGCCATATAATACATGTGCTATACTATGCACTATTTACAAGTATGAGGGTTCACCAGGGTGAGTTTTGAGGGTGTGTTTGGCCCATGTGAGGCCCCAACAAGCCTGTCGGCCAGGGCCGACGCCATTATACAGCCAAGCCAAACCTACGATGTCTGGGTTTGGTTTGGAAGTCACGCCCGCCCGACTCCATTGGAGCCAAAGCAAATCCAGGATTAAATCACGGTCGCCCGACCCCATTACGGCCAAGCCAGACCCGGGGATTTCTGGGTCTGGGTCTGGCTTGGAAATCACGCCTGCCCTGAGCCATCTGATGCTCATGATGCTCGCTTCTGGTAGGGGCTTTTGCTTACGTTCTCAGACTTGTGTAGCATCTTGGTGGGTTGTTAGCACCCACAACACATATGCAACCGACCCTGTGAAGCTTCATGTTTGCAAGATACCACAAACTATATACAATAGGCCTCTGCTGTACTGTCCGGTCCTATGCTGCGTTGTGCCGCTCTGGGGTCTGTGGTGTAGTCATCAGTAGAAAAGCCGCGTGGCTGATATACCCTAGGATTCTCAGGGTTTAGGGCTCTGGAGCTTTAGGGTTTAAGGATGTTTTTTAGGTCTAGGACTGCATCGCCGACCCAAGCGACCTTGAAAAGGCAGACCCACAGGACCCCACGGGCGCCGACGGATTTTTGGTGTGATGGTTTTAGTAGGTACATACGGAGGTGTCAACACCGCTCGGCCAGCAATGACCCGTCACACTGACTTCGCAATGGGAAAGTGCACGTCACAAAAAGGAGAGGATCCTTGAACCGAATCGCTCAAGGGCCCATCGCAAGGGAACATCCAAAACTCCAGCGCCACGTGAGGTGTGGGACTGGCTCACTTCGCTGGGCCTCTCGCAGGCGCAGCTCGGAGTGCGATCGCTTCCGAAGCTCTTTGAAGTTGTAGAAAAAGGAGACATAGCCCCTATTGCCACAAGCTCAATGATAAACTTCACGTATGCATCAATAATTCGTGGACCTGTCTATTTGGATTGACTGCTCGATGCAAGCTTTGAGTGGGCCTGTGATCACCGGTAGCTGAGAGAGGAGCCTTCGTTATTTCTGCACAGCCGCGCGCAGCGGCTTGCAAAGGAGCTGGAGAGTGCCACTTGGCAGTGCCAGCTCTGCGAGCGGGAAGTTTCGAAGCTAGGGAAGTCGCAAGGTGACACCACCCAATCACCGGAAGGACGACAAGGCTCCGCATGGGCACGTCTTGTTGGAGCAGCGAGTGGTTCCTGCAGGACCGTTTCAGGGAGCTGCAGGGAGAGCTCCGACGTCGACTGGAGGCTTCCTCTCCTTCTGTGACTGGATGGCAGTTGTGGGCAAGATGTTAGCTATCCCAATGGCCATTTTCTGTAGAGACAGTGCTCTGCTGCCCTTGTGTTCCGGTACGAAGCCGAGGTAAGCTTGCTTCCGCCGCGTGAGTTCATCCCCGGAAGTCTTTTCATCGCACACTAAGAGACTAGCGCCTTTCTGGCTTTTGACTTCAACTTGCGGAGGTCACTGTTGTGCCCGCATAAGAGCTCTTGGAGGTCTTTCTGTGGAACAGCTACGGAAGGATCATGGGTCCAAAGTGGCCCCTCTGGATAGATTTTCCGTGAAAGCTTGGCTGACCTTGCCCGTTCATCTGAGATCGCATCGTTTTGGGGGATCGCATCTAAGTCCTGGATTGCTGCTTGTGTGCCATTGCGGCTGTACCTCACTGGCATTGTAGGCCATGTTGCCAAGAATCTTGCACAAACATGCAGAAGCAAAGCGACATGGCTGACAAGAGGTTTGTCGTCGGGGTACGTACTTGAGAAGCGTAGTTCTCTTGCCGTCGCTTGCGATGGCAATGAAGGCACGGAAGCGACCATGCGTACTTGATCCTCTTCTGGCATTGCTGCTAGACGGACCCACGGGCAGGTGCTATTAGCGGTTGCCGTGCCCGCTGTCCTTGCAGCTACTGCAGAGGAAGAGGTGCGGCAGTTTTAATCTGAGGTATGAGCTCCAAAAAATCCGCCAGCTTGTGTGTGCTCGGCTTGCAGGGACAGCCTTTCGTGGACATGCACAGGCTTGTTGGAATCGAGTGCGGACAGGCCATGCGGCCACCCATTCGGTCATGCTGGAAGAGCATGCAGTTTTTTACACGGTAAGACGATGCTCGTGCAATAGACCATGAGGCAATGCAGTTTCTGTTGTCCGGACGTTTCAGGTGCGCCTTGCCGCATCCCAGGCAGATTGGGCCCAGGAGTTGGCCGGTCTTCAGGACCGGTGTGGGGTCGAGAAATTGAGAATTGAAGGGCTTGGGACCTTGGGATAGGGTTTTGAAGATATTGATTTCCGGCTTCAGGGATCTGTAGCGCTCAGGATGCCCCAAGACGTGGAAGCTTGCAGAGAGTCAAGTTGAAAATTACCAAGTACTGTATGCTCCTACCTCGCATAGCCCATACCATAGACCAAGATGACCAAGCTTGCACGCTCATCTTGCCCCCGCCCCCTCCCTTCAAGTGGGGCAAGTGGCGCAAGATGACCAAGATTGCTGGCAATCTTGCTCAAATAATTGTTCGAAACTCCCGGCACACTGAACTATAGCATGAGCCGGTCAGGAGGGATCCTGCGAGTCATTGGGCTTCACGGAGTCCCGTGGCGACAGAGAGGCCTCCCATATTGAGCCGTTCTGGTGTGGTCTTGTTACCGTCGAGCCGGAGAAGTATATGCACAGCTACGTGCATATTAGAAGGTACATCTAGAAGTATAAGCAAAATATATATTTGCATGTGTGCATATGCATAGATGCATTCCTACATGTATGAATGGATGTGCACCTGTACAGATAGTCGTCTATTGTTGGAGCGCAATAAAGAGATGGATAGACATATGCAATGCATGTACGTGTTTGCTACATGTTGTAACGCTCTATGTCTCATCGTATCCCACATTGCTTGGTAGTCTTAGCTGCAGCGAGGCTGGTTGTTTGTCCTAAGATCCCTACGGGTGTTTGATGAGGAGTTAGGAGATCGTTGCCAGGTCACCCTTCCTCTGATTGGCAGCCTGGGCCTGGGTATCTTCCGAAAGCGGGGCCCTCGAGAACCGCTGGTTGGGCTGGGACCCAGGCCGTAGCTGGTTCAGGCATATTCAGGGCAAGTTGAGGGAAGTCGTTTTCCGAGTGGTCTTGCCGTCCAGGTGGCTTCGGGGGTCGATGCCAGTGGTACTTAGAGTCTTTCGGGAGGCTGTCGAGCAAAGGCAGTAGACCCACGAAACCTTGCATGTGGCATGTTCATGGCAACACCCATTCCTAGCGAGTGAAGCCCTCACGAGTCCCTTCTCGAGGCCTGACGTGCTAGGAATCGCACAACAAGTCGGCGGAGCGCTCAGGACTTGCCGCGGCTTGTTCGAGGCTTCCTGCCCAGGTTGTTTGCAAGCTGCAAGCCAACAAGAAACAGGGTGGATGGATGTGTTGCTGATGGGGGCCGATCCCGAGGTGATCAACTCAACGGAAAGCCAGCCTCGCGAGGCGGGGCAAGAGGGGTCGGATGCCCACGGAGTTAAGCTGTGACCTACCCTACCTTGCCAGTGAGAGGCTCGGCCTGCTGCACAACTTGTGCAGACCTTGAAGAGAAATACGTCGCAGAGACCGCTGCAACCTGCCAGGAGGCCAGATTCGCGCGAGATCTTCATCACTAAATCATTTCTCTGTCACTCTCGCTCTCTCTCTCTCTCTGTGTCTCTCTCTCTCTCTCTCTTCCTCCCCGTCTTTCTGTTTAGATCAGCATGCACCTGTATGTCTAACACACCGGATGACGCTGTCACAAAAGGCTGCATGCTACCCGTGCCTGGGGCAAAACTTCGGCAGGCTTGCCTGAGCATTGCAAAGCGGATGATCCTCTCCGTGTCGGGCCTGTTGGACTCTGGCCTTGACCAGACGAGACGGACAAGCAAATTTTCACGAACAGGTACATAGATACACGGTAATATCTGCATCTGAACATGTGAGCGTGTCGGGCGGGGGTACCTTAGATGCATCCAAGACTTGAGCGTCCAGTAGACACCCTCTGGAACTGTAAATTGCAAAGTTTGATCTGTAAAACACAGTAAAACACATTGCAAGGGACCGCGCGGGTTGCCAAGAAGCTTCGAGTCGCGACATCTACTGTAGAACATTCTAGAACCCTTGCTGAGGATCCCGCTTTCGTTCAAGCACATGGCCGTGGATGTCTCGAGCGTAATTTTCCAGTTCTCAATGCCACGCTCATGAAGGTGGCTTGGCTTTGTCTGCGTCGCCTGGTGGTGTCCGGCAACTGATCTCACTCTCACTTGGCTGCTACAGAGGGCATGGACCCAGCGTCCTTCAGCTGGGATGTCTACAGCCGGCCGCCGGCCAACACGGTGATCTTGCGCAAGGCGGTATTCTTGTTGCTTCGGTCTCTCGCCGGGATAGCCTTAGCCCACAGCATCTCGCTTTGCAGGTCGCGTTCGGAGTTTGTGGTGCCTGGCCTGCAAAAGTGCCAGTGCAATGAGGTAACAGGAGAGGCGGCCATGTCTCCGGAAGTGCCTCTTTGTGTCTCAGGTCAGCTGCCCTTGTCCACGACCGAGGCCCAGGCTTCCTTGAAGCTTCCGTGGCTTGGCTGAGACGGCTCGACCCTTTGTCTTTCTCAGAGTCTGTGAACTCGCACGGCTCTTTTCCTTTACGCCCTCTGTCGCCTCGGGCTGTTCCCCACCCGAGCAGATGTCAGGATTGGCCTCGAGGAGGGCAGCTGCGTTGCGGCTGGATACACGGAGGACGCCGGACAGCAGCAGCCGCCTGAGCCGTCGGCCAACCTCAGCTCATGCTCGGTGATTCTGCGAGTATGGAAGAGCGACCGGTGCTGGCAGGGAACTCCCGGGCTTGCCTGGCAAGAAACTCGCTCTGTTCCGCAAGGCTTGACTTGAATCGGCATGCCCACCAGTCTTTGAAAGCTTTGCAGCCCTGACACGATGGTCTTGACGCAGGCAGGAGACCTGGACGTCCTCGATGGCCTGCACATGGTCTTTGCTGCCCTGACGCAGGCGCGTCGCTTTGGGTCGGGTGATCCAAAGGTCCAGGCGTCATGCGGAGCTTGGTGAAACGCGGCCAGGACACAGTGACCATGTTCAAGGTAGTTGGCGACCTCTGCTCCGAGGCATCCATCGACAGGACTGCGGCTGCAGGAAAGGGTCTGGCCTTTGCCCAGTCCCCGTGCTTCCAAATCTGGAGGAAGTTTCAGTCGCCACTGCAGAGCTTCGGGCAGTTTGAGCTGGGCTCATGCAAGGACGCGGGTGTGTCCTTGGAAACGCCGAGCCTTCAGGAAGTTTCGGAGGCACAAGACGGATTGCAGGTCCTTCGTCTGCGAGGCGATCAGAAGCAGTAAGTCATGGTGGGGCTCAGCCTGCATAGTGAGAGCCGCAAGCACCTGGTCCGTTGTACTGAAGAGCATCGCAGGAGCACGGGTACAGCATGGCTGCTGGTTCCCAGTCCTTCAGCATTCCGCTGGTCACAGAGATGCAGGTTGCCCTCTATCGGAAGGCAGGCTTGACACGGTCCCGGAAAGCTCTGGCGACACTCTTGTCTTGCCCAGCTTGTCTTCATGTTGTCCTGTTGTTTTTTGCGGAAGCGAAGAATTTCATGAATTAGCTGGCCATGTTTGCTTCTCCTGCCGTCGGCTCAGAATTGAAGCAAACTGTTTTGGACACGAAGATCATGTCTCTCTTGCAGATTGGCGCAAGCACGTAGAGTGAAGCCCGGCAGGCAATCCCAGGCGTCGGGATCCTCGTCTGATGCGATTCCAGCCAGCCCCGCTGGCTCGAGGCCTAACATCGGACTGTTCTCATCTTCTGCATAGTGGCATAGTGTAAACCCCAAACTTGTTTCAGAGGACAGCACTGGCACGGACATCTCTGTAGTTGCTGGCAAAACCAGGCGAATCAGTTTCACCGGTCTGTTTTTGGCAGCCCAGAAGCGTCTGCCCAGCTGAACTTAGTAGAAAAGCCGAGAACTCTGATGCTACCACGTGCCACCAGATTTTGGTTGTTTTTTCTTTGCACCTGGTGGACGAGGGTTGAGGCTTTTCGGAATTTGTGTGGTGTAAATCGCACGCTTGGTCCCTGCCAGTCCCGGGCATGCTTCAGTCATTTTCGGCAAGTCCTGCATCACAAATGACTTGGCATTGGCACGGAATAGTATGGATAGTAAATGCGTGTCTTGAACTTGCAGAGTTGAGGATTTCAGGCACACTGTAAGTGGAGGCCCACATGTTCGATCTGCCGAAGGCTTCAGCAGATGCCGGGAAACAGGACGGGATGTGTCAGGCATTCGTTGTTTAGAGTGTTTTTCATTTTCTTTGGCTCCGTGTTTCTACAGAAAATGTGGCATGGTCCGGGTTGCGCAGAATGCCATCGCCGCGTTTTGGCTTTCCTCCGGTTTTGACCTGCTGGACGAGCATGACGTTCTACTGGCAAATGGCTGGCACATCTGCCTCCCCTAAACAGGGCTCGCAGAGAGGGTCAAATCTGCCAAGTAGCATGAAGGCAACCACAGATGCCGTACCCCAGCAAGTAGGTTTTCAAGTCCAGTCAACAATACCGGCCGAACATGTCCGCCTCATTGTGAGGGACGGGAAACAAATACTGGTAGACATGATCTGCCGAATGGATGCCCTGAGTTGGTAATCCGGCCACCCTGCTGATTCTCCATGGCAGAGAGCACGGCTCAGGCATCGGAATGCAGGGTAGATTTGAATGGATTTTGGTCATCTGCTTCAACTAACTTCGCTTGGATGCCATCCCGGCGAGTAGCGTCTTGCCGAGCTCGAGCTGCGCTGTCCCTGTGAGGGCGACAGCGGTGCTGTGCAAGCCCCTGCGCCGCCTCGCAGCAGGTTTCGGGAGAATTGCAGGTTTTGCGTGTTCCTGCGATTTGTGTGCATTGCAGCGGCCACATCTTGGAGTGTGGACTGAGTGTTGGTCTTGCCGGCTCACATCCTGGCAAGAGGTGGCTGGACGGCACAACGAAGGTCGCAGACTTATCTTGTTGGACCTCAACATGATTTTTTCACTGCCGTGGGGCTCAACATGATTAACAAGAATTTATGCAGCCGTTTGACATGGCAGTGCTATGTCTGTGGAGCGATCTTGATGTCATTGCCTGACATGCACACTGCTGGACAGGAAGTACGCACGTGCACGTCGCGCTCATCAGTTATCTCGTGTGACTTGTGCACGCAGGTTGATGTGGCGCTGCAGCCACCGGTCGAGGACTGCCACCTGCAGTCGCAGACATTATGATCGGCAAGTATATGTGCAAAAGCATGATGGCAGGTAGTGTAAGAAAAGAATAGAAAAGAGTAGAGCATAGGATAGCATAACATAATAGAATAGAGTAGAGCAGAGTCGAGTATAGTATAGAATAGTATGGTAAAATTGGTAGAGTGGAGTATAGTATAGTACTCTACAGTACAATGTAGTTTAGTATAGTGTAGTATAGCTTGTATTATATGTACTATATGAATATAAATATATATGTATATATATATATATAAATACTTTAATATAGCATTCTTCATAATATATAAATATATATATATATATGCATATCTATATATATATATACACACATGCAGACATACACATATGTAGCGTAAGGGTGTGTGTGTGTGTCTCTCTCTCTCTCTCTCTCTCTCCTGCTTTCTCTTACTCTCTCGCCAATACATATGCAGGCATATCTACTTACGTTTGTACTTTGATTCCCACTTGTAGTATTGTTCATTCTATCGTATCCTGTTAATGCTTGCACCCATGTGTTGTGTGTAGGTACGGCGAGGTATCGACGCAGGCATAATACACATTATTGTATAATATATAGAAATATGTATATACAAATATATATTTACAGGCTCACGGTTATACACGCACACGCAAAATAGTATATATATATATATGTATATATATATATATGTATGTATGTATGTATGTATGTATGATACACATACAGGTTTTAATACAGACGTGTGTGTGTATATATGTATACTTGTACCTACATATATATATATATATATATATGAGTTTGCGCATGTATGTCCGTATGTTTCATATGTATAGAATATCTACGCACACCTACCTGCATACCTACCCATTTACCTAACTGGCGGTCTGTCCCCACTTCCTCACCTACATGTGTATGTATGTATGTATGTATGTATGTAGGTAGGTATGTATGTATGTAGGTATGTATGTATGTAGGTATGTATGTATGTATATATGTATGTATGTATGTACATATGTATGTATGTATGTACATATGTATGTAGGTATGTATGTAGGTATGTGCGGAGGTATGTATGTGTGTATGTATGGATGTATGGATGTATGGATGTATGGATGTATGTATGTATGTATGTATGTATGTGTGTGCATATATACATATGTACATAAATATACATACACACATCTATATATATATATATACATATATATATATACACATATCGTTACATGTAAGTAAGTACACATGCACACACACACACACACACACCCGCGCACACACACACACACACACACACACACGCCTGCTGTAGCAGGCACCATTGCCACACTGCCGACAGGTTACGCGACCGTCCCCGGAGCCCAGTAATGTGCCAGTGAAGGCGAAGCCGTCAGGCCCCGCTGGAGCCCAGGATTCATGGAATTGAGGAAATATGGACTTGCGGAATCGCGGAATTGTGGAGTATGGAAACTAGGGCTCAGATTAGGGCCTGAGGCTTCAGTAGGGTTTAGTAATGGAGATCAGAAGGATTCTGCAAAGGGCCTGTGCAGGCCTCTGGTGGGGGCAGGACAGCTTTGTTTCTTTGGAAGTGGCCCACAGAGGGGTTGTATTGAAGATGCAGTATAGTCTTACTTTATTGCTACAGCAGGCATCCAATGCAGTTTCGTCTCACGCCCCCGAATCAAACCCTAACTATCCAAAGCAGAGCCAAACCCTCACAACCTTAAACCCGAAACCTCATCCAACCAAACCCTTAACAAACCCTGAACCCGAAGGCCCGAAGACAAACCCATAGTACAACGTTTGGAACCCCTAAATCCACAGCACCTAGACCCTAAATTCCTAGCTGTCTGTTTCGCCACGGCAGTTCCTCCGTTGGGATTCGAAGAAGTCGACCCATGGGAGGCCTTTGTCTGTGTCGCGGAACGTAAATAAAGTTTCATACTGCAGAAGAGTGTTTCGCTTGTGATTGATGACCTGTTAAGATGACGCGTCACCCTGATCTTGTGCTGCAAGGGAAAGACTCTGCCGAAAACGAAAGTGGCAGATCCCGCGACAGGCCATGGCCCGGTCTCTGATCAATCTTGGACTGGATTGACAGTTGCGAGTTGCGCTGGCGACGGCGACGCTCGGAGGTTGCTGTCAGCGTGCCTTCCGAGTTGCGTTTCTTGCAAGGCCACGAGTGGGACGACTTCTTCAACGCACCAAGACTGCGAGAGGCGAAAGAACTTGTTCTCGGAAGTGTGCCGGGCTTGTCGTGCTGTGGACGTGTCTTTGGCAGGAGCCGACGATGACCAGAGGCCGGGAACGGCAGCGGTAGGTACCTCCATCGCTAGGATCATGTCAGTAAGAATGGGAATTCTTGCAACGGATTCTACAGACTGTGCGAGGTGGTTCTGGACAAGAGGCCTGCTGCACTCACGGTCAAGAATATGATGGGCCGACACGAACTTCCTATGATCTTGTCCTCCTTTTTCAGAAGGTGCCGGAACGACGGCAGGGCCTGGATCCAAGTGGAGAGTGTGAAGTTCAATGCGCAGACCGATGCAACGATGTTGCGCATGATGTTGTGTGCTTGCGACCCCTGGGCTCTAGTCGGTCCAGCTGCAGCAGTTGCTCTTCTGCTCGCTTGCGTGGACGCTCCGCCAAGGTACGCGCACGCGGGACGAGCGGCGGTCGTCCGACAGGAGCTCGTTTCGTCATCTCTTATGATGCACCTGGCACATAAAGCCAAAGTTGATCAACCACAACCCCCTGCATCACATGGCATCATGACAGCTGTGGTAGAGGTGCAAGTGCTGTCACATTTCCATTTGCTATGCGTTCTACGAACTCCCGAAGAGCAGTGAGAAGCGAAGCAGTGTTACGATAATGTCGCTATTGCAAGAGCAGCGTCTGGACTGCGCATCAACTTTAGTTCTCCGATCTCGAAGGCTCCTCTTCTCGAACGGTTCCGGGCGACGTGAGCGGCACGGAGACGCAAGAGGTGGCCTCGGCCTCGAAGATCGAGCCGGTAAACTTGAAGTCGCAGAAGTATGGACATGTGTGCGCAGGTCCAGATGATGACCGAATTTCGCATTGTCGGACCCTCAGAAGAAGTCAGCTTGGATTTCAATTGCGATGGAAAGCCGGAAGCAGCTTGCATTTTCCGAATCTGCAAGAGAGTGCGACTGCCGCAATCCCTCAGTTCTTGCAGCTTGGCTTCGGTACCATATGGTGCTGCTCCCAGCTGTTGTTGTCAATACCACTTGACCAAGCCCTGCCCGTTCCCCAAGGTGGAAGCCAATGAGGGCTGGATCAGCATGTTGAAGCCTCATCATGTCCTACGGTCTTGTGGCCAGAGTTTCGTTGGCATGCTGAGCCCAGGAGCCAAGTGCTGTCCGAGCCGGAGCTCCAAGGAGCCACCGAGGAGGACCCGTCACCTTTCATGACTTCCATGCGCCAAGGGTTATGACACATTATCTAGTCCCTATTGTCACAACATCAATATCAAAAGAATGGCAAAAAGAAGGTAAAAAAAG